CTCACCAGACTGCTGGCCAGGCATTTTGTGCCTCAGTGCCCGTAACGCAGGGATGATTATACTGAACTTTCTTTCCAGCACTTTAAGATCTCTAATCCAAGTCTGTAAATACCAGGTTGCACCATGCAGTCGTATGCAGGTGTAGTACTTACACAGCTCGAGGTGGTAGGAAAAGCACAGGTCTACCAACATCAATGCACCTTCATTAGGGAGCTCTCAGTTTCTGAATCCAGATAATCAAGAGCAGAATAAAACCTGTACAGCTTTACAAGCATTACCTGTAGGATCCCTGATGTCCTCTCTTGTGATGCTCTGCTTAGGAACCTCTGCTCCACTCACTGCCCGGCCCAGCTTAGCTCATGGGTTTCGAGGAGCTCACAGCCCAGCTGTGATGCCTCCTAATCACACTGTATTGCCACCTCTTCTCTATACCTCCTGCAGGGAACTGCATGAGTGAGTTCATGGGGCTCATCAAAGGCCACTACGAAGCAAAGGAGGAAGGCTTCCAGCCTGGAGGGGGTAGCTTGCACAGCATGATGACTCCTCATGGGCCGGATGCTGACTGTTTTGAGAAGGCGAGCAAAGCCAAGCTGGAGCCTGAGAGGGTTGCAGAAGGGACCATGGTAAGGAGCCAAAGGAGCCAGTAAGATTTCGAATACGGCACAGCATACTGCAGCTGTGCCACTCTCGAAGTACAGCCTAGCTTCTTGCTGGCAAGTTGGAAAAGTACTTGGCTGCAGCATTCACCTCCCTTACCGATCAGCACCATTCAACTCCCAGGAGCTCCCCTGGAAACATGCGATGCCAGGCAGCTTTGATCATCTGCCCACATAAATTGTTGCCTGAGCAGGAAGCTGAGAATTTTCATGCTGATTAATTTAATTTTTGTCTTAGCCTATGGACAAAGCAATGAAATCCCTGACTGCCCTCCTTTCTCCACCCCCTAAAATCTAATGATCATCATCAACAGACCTTGAACTAGAGCTTTTAGAACAACCTGGACTTCCTGGGTATGCAAGGAATCCAGAGTCACTCCTGAGATCTGGTTAATACCAGCATTGCAATGCCAGCTCTGAAGAGCTTTCTCCTCCTGGGATGATCGGGCTGGAGGCAGAACTTGGCAGGGCTGGACCATGTGTGCAACTCCTGTTTGTGGTAGAGCAGAGCCACCTTGCCTGGATGCAAATTCTCGCTCTCTTGCCCTAACCTAGCTTCCCTCTTGCCCTAACCTAGCTTCCCTCTTCCCCACAGGCCTTCATGTTCGAATCGTCCCTCAGTCTGGCCGTCACCAAATGGGGCCTCCAGACCTCCAACCGCCTAGATAAAAACTACTACAAGTGCTGGGAACCTCTGAAAAGCCATTTCAACCCTAAGTGCAAGTAAAGAGAAGTATTTGTTGCTTGCAACACGTGAGTGAAGACAGGGAAATCGAGCATACCTACATATGATGGCACAGTCGACTCGGGCAACGCAGAGTGCTCCAGCACAGAACAGCGTTTCCAGCAGCCACCGAGCCACAAAGATGATCATTCCTATGTAACTTGGGAAATGCAGTAAAACCCACACCATTATTCTTGACTTTCAAGTATCCAATTAAAGCTTTCCTGGTGACACGCCGAAGCTGAAGTACTTGCGTGGCTCTCACTATGTGTAGTTGGTGTCAATGCTGTACCTTGTGCAGATACGAGGTAACAGCCAGCCCCGCTCTCAGGGTCTCCTGAAAATATGACCCGGTGTGTCTTTCACAGGGAGAAACTGGGGATCAATAAAGCATTTTATGCTGTCTGTAGGGGAAGAGCTTTCCAAACAGAGCTGAAGGCTCTAGCAGACCTAAGCCTCCTAATAGAGCAGACCATTTCAACCTGCTGCTCTGTGGAGGGTTGCCAAGGAAAGACTTGATTGTCAGAAAAATAGACCGCAAATTAGAAAAGGTTGGAGAATCCAAAGCGCTTCACTGCTAAGCGAGGAAAAGTTTCCTTTCCAACCCCACGCTCTGGCTGTCCTTCAACATTGACTGGTTTGCCAGCACTTGACAAATTCTCTACGTAGTTAAGTGCTAATCTGCAGCATAGCAAATGCAAAGGGGCTTCTCTGGCCAGTCCAGGCATTTGTTCCTGGGAAGATACCTGGAAGAAAGCTCAAGTGTAGACAACATCGTGGAGGACCTCAAAATTCACTTGGAGTATGCAAGCCTCACCTCCAGGTGGTGACTTCCATGGGATGGAGGCAGAAAGCAAAGCCCCAAGTAGGCTGGGAACCAGGAGCACAGCCCAGGCACCCCAAACCTCAGGCCTGTGCTTTAGCATGTACCCATGTGCTTGGTGCCATCAGGATCTATGTTTCTTACTTCCCAAGAGAAGCAAGCCTCAATTTTCCAAAAGAGAAGGAAATGTAGAGCTGCAACACCTAACTCCAGTCAGTTACATCCATCATCGGTTTTGGATCTGCGCCAGATCCTTGGGGAAAAAAAAGCATCAGCTTTGAGCAAAGTATTACATTATAAAATCTACGGGGAGATGTTTACTCTAAAATAGCTAGCTCAGAAAAGGACGCTCAGGAGAATCAGTTTGCCAGACAAGCTGATTTAATCAGACTGATCGAGAGATAAATGAGGTCTAAATGTTTCACAGGCAGAGGGGAAAAGCTTGTTTTCTGTTTGGGACCTAAATTATCATCCAGTGACCTGCATGCTTGAGTTTCTCTTGCTATAGACTCATCACGGAAGCAGACACAGGTGGTAACACATCAGTCAAGGATAAAATTCCACGAGGTACATTCACTCTCTTGTCTTCGCCCTACATTTCTGAAGGGAAACTCCCCTCTCCTTCCCCTACGCACCCAGCACCACTGCCTTGAACCACCAACCCCATCTCCAGTAGCATAGCACGTTCGCTCCTTGCAAGAAAACAGCTTGGAGAGTTCTGCAAATAACGAGAGCAAAGTAGGGCAGCCTTTCCCCAAGCACCATGCTCAAATCTGCAGGGACGTAGCATCAGACACTCTCATCTGCAAAGGAAAGGGCTGTGGCAGGTGCCGCAAGCGTCAATCCGAGGCTGACCTAAAAGACTAGCAGCGCTGCGCTCATCCACAACCCATCCCGAACCATTTGCCCAACTGGCCTGAAAAAATACAGCTGCAAGGGAGAGTTTACGTGTGTGGTGACTCAAGTTCCAATAAGCCAAGGAAATGGGTCCTGGGAGATCAAATTAGTTTGTGGCAGCAAGAAGTAATTTAGCATGCTCAGACAAGCAATTACTTCTTTATCTCCATGCGTTGATGCCTCTCTCTCTCTGCACACAGATGTATTTTGTAATATCATGTGACAGTCTTTTAGAAGCTGTTCTGCAGAGAATAATCTGGGCTTGCTTTAGTTAAGCTAGCAGAAGAACAAGCTGCAGAAACAGGTGCAAGAGCGTTGTTGAGAGCACATACGAGATTGCAAGAGCGTTGTTGAGAGCACATATGAGATTGCAAAAGCAGGCCACGGCCTTGCACAGCTGCTGCACACAGCCTTAGTGCCAAGCCCCGCTGCCTGAACATTTCATGACACAGACAGGAAAGGGAAGAGTTACAACAGGAAACACTTTAAAAAAAAAAAAAAATTAAAAAAAAAAATCAGGAACCACATTTTTACTGTGAGAGGGACTGAGCACTAGCACAGGTTGCCCAGGGAGGCTGTGGAGTCTCCATCTTTGGGAGATACTCAAAAGCTGTGTGGATACGGTCCTGGGCAGCCTGCTCAAGGTGGCCCTGCTCGAGCAGGGGGTTGGATCAGATGACCTCCAGAGCTCCCTTCCAACCTCAGCCATTCTGTGAGTCTGTTAAAAAGCTCATCAACTCACTCTGATTAACAGGGACTGCAAATGCCTGATACTTACATCCTAATCATGCAGGAAAGGGACTTAGCACAGGTGCTCCTGCTGACTTCACTTGTCAAGAACATAGGCTGCTTCCCAGCAGGCAGAGGGAAGTTTTCCACTTTTGCATCAGACTGAGTTTTTGGCATTAACCTCAACATTTGGGAAGAAACCGCTCCTGTGTAATGTCTGAAGAATGAGGGTTGTTTGGATCATGATGGCACCTACAGGCCATTTGAAAATTCAAGTCTGAATTTAAAATGTTTTCCTTGCACTCACATTTCAGTACTTCAGCAGTAACAATTCCAGCGCCCCCTACACCAGCTGACCTGGGCAGAAAAGACTTGTAAGACTAAGCAGAGAAGACATCTTTGCAGGCACAAGGTTCAGTTACGCTTTATGGTTTTTTTTTCAATCATGGCCCATTTGCAGGGGTGAAATGGAATTCTTCTATACTGTAAGGGAATCTGTGTCAAAAATAAAAATCCTTATCTTTTCACTTCTTGTCTCCCACTCACAGGAATCACAGAATTAGTGGAAATGCTAGTCACATATAGCATGACAATGTTCAGCCCACTATTTCCAAGTCTGGTACAGTAATTTTAGCCAGAAGTTTATTGCAATAAACAAATGCATGGCTTAGGCTTGTATTTTATTAGGGAAAAGAAAAATTAACTCAACTTATTGAGAGCAGTCAGGCAGGCTCCTAAAGTTATTAAAAATTTATTGCAGAACTTCCCTATTATCTGATTAGGGCAAAATATGTAGTCAAACCGACGCCAGGAAGAAATACCTAGTACGCAAGCAGTAGTTCTTTAGGAAATTGCTTTGGGCTCGCTTAACATTTTAGCCTGCTACTAATTTTAAACTTCAGCCTGTGCTGCTCTGAGAGCAGCAACTTCCACAGTTTAAAAGGGGCCCCTGTGTGTAGACCAAAGTAGTACACTGCCCGAGTTCAGGACACCCTCTCCGTGTCTATCTGCGTTAGGTATAAAGATCCTGCATTTTTGCACTTCCCATAATTGTTAAAGATGCAAGACAACCAATGAGCAATTAAGATTTATTCTTATGAAGGAGAAACATCAGCACACAATACATCTTATTTTACTTATATCCCATGAACAGCACTGCAATTCCAGGAACTTAAAATACACTGAATGGTCGCTTGTATTTACCTTCTTGGATAAGCTTCTCTTTACGATCCTGTGGAAGAAAGAGAACATTCATCATTATCCTATTAGAGAAGAAGTTTCAATCAGCCTGGGATGAGGGAAAAGCAGTCCTAGTATTTCAGTATGGACTATAGGAAGATAGCACCACATGTGATCTTAAGGGTCTTTTCCAACCTAAATGATTCTAGAAGCACAAACTCTGGTAACAGCCGTTGTGGTTATAAAGTAAAAAAGAACAAGTCATTTAGCTTCACCTACTAGCTATGGAAGACATGCTCAGATTGACCTCTCTGCACATCCATCCACTCTCACAGGCCAGCAGAGACCAATTCCTGTGATGTATTTTTCACCAAACAAGTTGCGTCACAGTTAATTTATACATTTAGTTTCTGCCTCCTCCTTCTGGCTGAATAATCCAGTTTAGAGATCCAATTATGGAGAAACTTCTTAATAACTTGCCTAAATGTGCCTGTATTCACTTTCAGCCCATTTGTATCTCACTCTGCAATCATGTACCTTTCTGACAGGTATTGTTACAGTACACAGACACTGCAGATATTGCCCAGATTCCTTCTGCTGGATCAAACCAGAAGACTTGCTTAAGACTTGGCAATTTATCTTTTGCTTTCCCAGATGCACAACAAACACTCCTCAGAGAAAAGAGTATAACAGTTATTGTGCTTTATATACTGCCAGAAAACAAAGAAAAATCCCCAAACATCAGTAAGGGAACTGGAATAAAGGAAAACAAATTGTCCTGGAGACTACATTAAAGACTTCAGCTTAAATATTCGCAGGCAAGTATGTCTAGATTTCACTCACACAGGTTTATTTCCAAGCACTCGCATGCTAAGCCGCACTTGATGGCTAAGCCCAACTGTGGCTTTACGTACAAAACAAAACCAGTATGACAAAATACTGCAGAGATGCTGAAGTCTCAGAAACATTTATATCAACATGCTCAGCATGTTTCCTAAAACCTGTATTTTCAATTCATCCTAGTAAACAGCATTCCCCACAAATATTCTATTAATTTTAATTGATGTTTGTGCTTCCCAGTTTATGACTTGATCTAAAAATGCTACTTTTGTGCAAAAGAGGGAAATAAAAGTGTTTTACTGTAGCCATAAATTCACTAGTAGTAACAGCTAGGTGTCTGGCCGTCACCTAGCATTTTCTTATGTATGTATATAGCTGAGTATTTTCAGAATGATCTACCATTGCTCGGATTCTGAGGCCCACCTTTCAGGAGTTAGAACAGAAGCAAGATAAACCTTCCAAAATCTTAAAAATCCAGCTGAGATCAGGCACTCTAATCAGCATAAGTACTCCTCCCCATTTGCTTCATGAGATTAGGGAAATGGTTAAGCAATTCACAGAGACCTTGCTAAGTCTGTCATCCATAAGCTCCCTATTTATTTATTTTAGAAAGCACAGTTACTGCATGTCAGCAGCTGAAAATAATAGTCTCTTATGGTTAATTTACACTGTCAGTGCTACAGAGAGCTTTATTATAGCAAAATATCCTGTGACTGGCCATACCCAAGGGTACGATACAGGGCTCTTAACACAGCAGGACTTTGCAGCCAGTTATGAGGCTTTGAGATACTAGGCTCAGTATCAGCCTTCCTTCCCTCATTACTTCAATGGAATTAATCATTCTTAGGTGCAAGAGGATCCCACCAAGGAAGTTTCCAGGCAGATCTACATTTTACAATTTGGTGTTCACTGACGTTCAGTGTTGTCAACGGACTCACCCTGTCAGCTTTGAAGACAGCAGCCCAAAAGAGGATAGGACCTATCGCAAACAGAGCTCCTAGAAAGGACGTCTTAGGTGTCGGGCGGAAAGTAGGGTAGACGTTCTGCGTCCTAGCGTAGGCCCAGCGGACCAAGGCAGGATCTTCCTGGGGTGGAAAAAAAACCACAGTGAGGCCCCAGGGGCCCTGCAACGCCCACCCGACTCGACGCAGCCCTGTTTGCCCCCGCCGCGGGGCTGAGGCCTAGAAAGCCCCCGGCTGCCTCCCGGCCCACGCCGGCAAGGGCGCCAAGGTC